TTTGCTTGCTTTTACCCTCAGGACCAACTATATAAAATAAGAAGAAAGATTGGTAGTTTTGAACAACGTCCAGGTGAGTGTTTGGTAGACTCTTATAAAAGGTATAGGAATATATTGTCGGAATATCCTGAGCATTATTACCCTGATTACTTGATTTTGAATTTCTTTTATGGAGGACTTGATCAACAAAGCAAGCAGGCATTGGATATTGCTTGTCATGGCATGACAAGATATCTCTCTTGATGCAATCGCCAGCAAAGATCAATCGATGGCAAAGTATTGGTTGCGCATCGAGCAGCGTTCCAAACATCATATTTGGCGGAGAACGAACGTAGACACGAATCTCTCACACACCGATGGGGTACGATTCAAGAGATGTGCAACCGTTGAGCGGGTGGCAAGGAGCAAGGAAGCACGATCCTCCTAGTGGTGTTACCATTGATCAATATGTAGGCAATCTTGTTTTTTATTGCAACATTTGTATTACTTTGATCATTCTCATCAATTTGTGCATTTGTTTGTTTTAAGATGACATAATCCAGAGAGGTACAAACAAATGCCCAAGTCGAAGGGCAAGCCGTTTGGCCTCCAACATTGTTGGGATTTGTTGGAAGAGCACGAGAAGTGGAAGTCGAGGAATGATGGCGGCAATCCAAAAGCTGGGAAGTGCTCCAATTCCTCTCTAGAGATGGACGATGGCGTAGATGATGGTGATGGACAAGAAAGGGCAAAGGTGCCTACAAGTACCATTTCGCAATTTAGCACGGGTTAGCCTGACGGAAGAAAGTGGAAAAACTGAAACTCGATATAGAAGGAGAGTGGGGGTGATGAAAAAAAAATAGATCGATTGATCAAGACAAGAACCGAGTAAGCCGAGAAGAAGAAGTAATGAAAAAAAGAGATGGTGGAGAAGAAGAACCAAGAGAAGAGGGTGAGATGGGATGAAATGCAAGAGAATAGAGGGTGTCAGAAAGAGATGGAGACGTGTTGGCTCCGAATTAAGTAAGAGATGGAGGCGCATAGACTCCAAAATTAAGCAGGAGATGGAGGCGCATAGACTCCAAACTAAGGAGGATCGGGCGAGAGTTGATCGCATGGCCGAGCATAATCGATCGGTTCCTCATGTTGGATCCAAACCTAATGGATCCGGTGGCGTGAGATTTTTGGGCGGGATCTAAGATTTGACCATTCATTTTATGAAACTCGAAGGAAGGGACAGTCAAACAGCGGGAACATGTGAACTGTACATGTCGCGGGCGAAATGCTTTTGTTCATGCAACTTGTCGAAACCATATGCATGTTTGCTCGATGTGGTAAACGTTTAAATTTAAAGGGAATCGGACTGTTTAAATTATGGAGGCTGAAACTTGGCGATTCTGAGTTTACGCCTCATTTGCACAACCTTCAAATCCATAAGAAGCGTGCTTCATATGACAGAATCTGTCATATGACTGGCGGCTCGGACAGAGTTGCTCTAAGAGCATGCATGGACGCATGCTCCTGTTATTCTATCATGTGCTGCATGTATTACTAACTTTTGCACGCGGAGACAAGAACTATCAGATTAACCTTGATATCGTACCTTAAAGAAAGATCGGTAGCCTCTTTCCGTTATAAAATTAGGTGGGTAAACAACGACAGGTAGATGGGATCGCGAGCGTTGCATGCATTTTCCAACTTTTAACCTGAAAATCGACCGTCCAACTTGTGTTACCGTCAACCTCAAAAAAAAAAAAAAACTTGTGTTACCGTCACGGGCTAACATGCATGCATGCTTACTGCCTTACTGGTAGCTTTGTTGGTGCATGTCGTCGTATGTGGAGGTGGCTTGTCGTGTCTCGTCACTTGTTTTCCGTTATGCCGACCCACCCCGCGTCGACAAGACAAAGTAGTCTATATGCAGATACCTCGGCCAAATTACGTTTTCTTTGGTAAAAGGACAGCTAGCTAGCAGTAATTTTACGTGGGTTCTAAGCATCGCATGGGCACCGGTCACCAGCCGGTCGATCGATCGCTCTCTGGGATCCCATGCTATGCTAGCTTTTCTGCAGAACCTCACCTGCACGTCGTCCGTTAGGGCGTCGCTTTTGGACGAGAAAGGGCCGAGGTGACTCGATCGAGTCACTACGTGCTTGCTTGTTGTTGTTGCTTTTGCACTTGCCTGATTTGTCTCCTCGATCGTTACGTCTTGCTGCATCGGTCGACAGATTGTTACACGAGAGCTTCTTAATTATGCTCCATTGCATTCTATGATGCATCTCGTTTGGTTTGACTATAGGAGCATGTCATATTAATCCTTGAAGAATGATGGGGTTTAGGTGTAGGTGTAGCCGCTTAGGAATGGAATTACTAGCTATGGAGGACTGACAGGCAGACAATCGAGAAGAAGTAACTAGGGCTAGCGACCGCGCGTAGGCCAGAAGATGCGAGGGAGTCACGACTATGGTGGTTGACAGTGAGTTATATATATGCACTACTTATTAAAACTTCTTTGAAAAACTTATTCCCATTTCATCAGTCAGCCCAGCCATGTATAGACTCTCTCTCCGGATAGAAATGGCGCCAGCCGACACTGGAATAAACCCCTGAGCTCTAAAACCTTATAAAACCCCACGAATCAACAAAAATCATCCAAAAGCTTGGCACGACGGGGACTGGGGGACACATGAGCAATTAACATACTCGTACCCCAACCGTAATGTCCGAAGAAAAATGACGATCGTGCATCCTAATCATCGATCAGGGGTCACAATTATTCAGTGCTCCTTCGATGAGGACACGCGAGGCAAACAAATCCCGCTTTAGGCGACGCGCACACTCATGCTTTGGTGCCTAACCACCATTATTTCGAAAACCACACTCATGCAAGTGCACACACACGAGCTCTCGAGAGAAAGGAGGAGAGAGAAAGAGGCAACCACCGGCCCGGCTACTTGAAGACGTGCTACCTGAAGACGACGCGCACCCACAAAAAGACGAGGCGAACAAAAGCTACTATGCCACCAAGGTGTGGTAGCAGCGGCATGTAGCGCTTGTTGCTTAGCCTCCAAACATGTCGACGTCCGTGGCACTTTCGGACTCGAGCCTCGGTCCTGTCGATTCCATGTCCATCGGTGGCCTGGCCGCTCCCAACAACGGCAGCGCAACAAGAAGAGGTCCGCCGACGATGCAAACAATGGACGACGACGACGGCGACGTCACGGGGACGCAGCCATTTCGCTTGCCATTAGATTAGGATGCATCATCTTTGGACTGATGGTGCGCATGCATGCATGCATTGCATGCATTTCCATGGGCGGGGATGACACTGACGAGTGACGAGTATGATATGCAACTATGCACTCGTGATAAGTTTTCTTCACCTTTTCCTGCCTGGTGGAGTAGGATACCGTCGTTGTTGATGCATGGTTAGGTCAGGGCCGGTAACTTGGCAAGCAAAAAAAGGCCGTGGGGCCCCAGCCTTTTGCCTGTTACTCATCAAATCGGTTAAGCTCCCTTTACTGAGTGCCACCGAATTGCCAGTGCTTCCCACGGTCATGGTCAGAGAGCCAGTTTTGGTACATGGCACTATCGCAGACGCAGAGCACCCATGTGTAGGTTTGGCGATTTGCCACAAGTCTAGCTTAAACGTGTAAAGCTGGTGCACGATAAAAAAAACTAGCAACTGTCAGGGAGCTCAGACCAGCTCGTTTCCGATGCGTGTAGACGAAGAGTGCTCCGGGGTCTGTGCTCGATCTGCATCGCTGCATAAATGAACATGGGTAACATTTAGGGAGGAAGCTGTGAGAGTTGAGACTTTCGGAGGGCAGTGAGCGAGGTAAGGAACAAGGGTAGGTCGGGGATTGAAGACGAGACGCAGCAAAAGTTCATCGGTTGTTGCATACAGAACCTTGTGGTTGTGGACTCGGCAACTGTTGCACAATGAATCCTATACTAAACTGTAGGAGTGCATTATGGCTACTCGTGTAGTCGTGTAATTAAGCATTTGTCGAAAGCATTCCGAGTTCCTTCTTTCACAAGCAGGGCGCGGTTTCAGGTTCACCCTATGGATCCATGGACCATGCATCGGCCTAGTACACAAATCTGCGCCGGAGTACCGGGTCTAGGAAGAGCAAGGGACTAGTGTAGCTGTGGTACAAAATGGCAGGACCGAGGCAGCGTGATGATGGATGATGGGTGCTGAGGCTGAGCAAAGACCCTGGATCTCGGCGGAGTATCATTTCATTTGCCATCCGGAGCTTTCAATACCGAGAGCAACCCAGCTAGGCCAAGTAGTTGGAGTCCTGGAGATATTGGAGCTCTTGTTTCTTCAGTAAAGACTCGGCAAATTCAGCGACAGACAAGAAGAAAAACGTGTAGTACATGTCACAATCAGTCAGTGATATCATTTTGATGCCATGGACTTTGTGTCATCGCAGGTCAAAAGATAGTTTTCTTCATCTCATCAGTGGATCAATCGCAATCTACTGACGCCGAAGCACAAGAAGTCCAGAACGACGACACCCGTTTCATCGCCAAACAACATGCGTATACTGTTGGCCTGCTTTAATCAGCTGCACTCTGTTGAGTAATCAGCACGCTGCCAGGGTATTTATTTATGATAACCAGACTATCGGTGGCTTAACAGGGCCCAACATTGATTGCTCAAGCTCATCTCAAGAATCTGGCCTGCCTGCCTGCCACTGAGGACCATAGTTTATGTCACATCATCATCGCTTTGATTTCCTACTAGTCACAGTTCTGAATCAAAGAGTCTGAGAGCAATTGATGAGACTGAGACTGGAACAGAATACCAAGACTGCATACTGGCAAATTGTTGAGAAATGATTGTGCTACTTGACAAATAGATTGCCATCGAGCTAAACCGTTTATCACTTCATTTTCCTATCACACGCGGTTGGTGTGCTGATTCAGACGAATGCGAAGTGGAGATACAGAGTTCACTACAGCTACCACCATCTTGCTTGGAAGTTGTCACTGGCAATAAATACCAGCAGCAGCTAACGCTTCAAGGAGTAGCTCTTTCCTGTGAACGCGTTGAACTTCGGCTCTTCCTTCTTCGGAGGCTCACTCCCTTTAGCAGGCTCCTGTTGGCAGCAATTGAATAGAAATCAGCAACTACGATTATGTTAAATATCGTGTCTTCTTACAGAAATGTCATACAGAACTGGTTAGCTTTAAATGAAAATTTTAGTTTTTGCACATAAATGATTCTGAAATCATTTCAGCATCCGGAATTTGTCTCCGTATACACTGAACTTGAAAGGTTTAACTTGCTAAAGTAAAAATTCAGTAGAGAAAAAGAGCATATGAACAATTTTTAAAATAGCAGAAACTACCTTCTGTGCTTCTGCTTCTTTCTTGCTGCTTGCACTTGAACCAAACACAAGCTTTCCTGTTTTCTGGCGCGTGGATGTGCTGGCTCCTGAAGGTGATGCAGTTTGCTGATTTGCCCTTTTGTTTGAGTCTGAAGGCGCAGAACGTGCAGCCGCAGTGGCCGAAGAAGCTCCAGGTGCTGGTTGTTTTGGGCCCTTACCATCCAACCGTTTTCCTGAACCAGTGAATGGTTTGAACTTTGGTTCATCTTCAACGATAGCCTCTTGATCTGAAGATTGCCAAAACAACATAGTTTCAAAAGGGGAAATATCACAACTATCTTCAGCAGCCTATAGAAAAGTGGCATAGGATGTCCAACAATACTTTGAAGCAGACTAATAAACATAAAATACATCGAGTTGGTCATAGTGACTGATGTATTTATTTATGTACAATATTGTTTCCATTTCCAGGTGGCAACACCAGTAAGGCTGCCTTCGGTTTGAAGGGATTGTGGAGGAAATGTAAAGGAAAATAAAACAGAGGAAAATTTTACGGAAGTAGCGTTCGGTCTGCAGGAATGAACGGCTAGAGGAAAGTTTCCATAACCTTTGATTTCACAGGAAATAAAACATCTGCCGGGAGCTCTTTTTTTTGGCAGAGTCCCGAGGCGAGGCACAGGAAAAGCTACTACTAGAGGCCCACATGGGGTGCTTGGGTCATGTGCTGCGATTGGTGGGTCCCAAACCTTTTGCATGTTCCTAATTCCTTTCCTGTGAACCAAACGGTCTTGATTTTCTACTTCCCTTGTTTCTCTCTCCCATAGGTTTCTACTAGCACCCCAATCCTATTCCTGTAAAGGTTTTTGTTCCTTTGTTTTCTATACATCCATTGTGAACAGGGCCTAAATAGATCTGCAGCTAAGCCTGGGAATAGTTTGGACTGAAACTTAGTTTTTGGATTGGCTTTTGATTTGATTTCTATATAGATTTGGTCTCTATTGGATTGAGATGGAAACCAGTTCGGTTTAGGTTTGGGTTGGGTTCAAATTTCTTAGTCCAAAACAAGTGCAAACCATGGTTTGAGACCAAATCAAGCGATTAGTCTGAGCCGCGCACCGCTTCCACCTCCAGCCAAACTTCAAAGACGCGATCGGACATTGCTGCTGCTGCCCACACGGCCACACGCACTGCAAGACAGTTCACGTATGTATGTATTCTACGCGGCGAGGGCGTGCACGTGCGGCTACAAAATCGATCAGCCTGTCTGTGTGCTAGTCTCTTTGGGCTAGCTTTGCACTCGTACGTGTTTGCTCTCTAGAGGATCCAAGCTACTAGTGCTTCAAATCCAACAGCCGCTGCTGCTGGCCGGAGCCCGTCGGCTGTCACGAGCTTTGACTAGATTCATGGAGTGCCCTGTTATGGATTTGTCCACGGTTTGAATCTGTGGGTTCAATCCAAATTTTGGAAATGGTTTGGGCTGGGTTGAATGGAGAGCATGCATAGTTTGGTTTGGTTTAGATTCTAGATGAAAATATTTGGGTTGGTTTGGTTTGGATGTGTGGCGTGTATTTCTATAGACTGGACTGGTTTTAGTTTGGATGTCAAACTATTCCCAGGTTTATCTGCAGATATAAAACGTATGCCAGACAGGAACAATAAATTTGTTCAACAATAACGTAAAACGCAATCACATTCAGCAACTATGATTTTGACAAGAGTAAAACACATACCTTCAGCAGGTGCCTTGCCTGCAGGAACTATGGGACGCTGTGGTTTTTCAGGTTCTTTGTAATCAAGAGGAGGTGCAAAGTCCACCTCACAGTCTGTCTCAATAATGCTAACTGCAGAAGCAGGTTTTGCTTCAACAATATCAATATAATACTGTTTGTTGTTGTAAGCTACCATGATGCTGTCGCCCGTGGTTAAGCAAGAGAAGTTTCTTAGAGTTTTCTCCAAGCTGCAAAGTTACACAAGCATATTAATGATGACAAAATGAATTAAGCGACTTTAATAGACAACTCTAGCATAAAGTTATCAGTTATTAACATGGTGAATGGCAAAAAAAATGAATGGGTTTTAGTGCAAACGTCTAGCTACTGACATGGCTTTGGGATTCGAGATGTCCAGGAAATCAGTCGTGTGAGGCTGCAGCTTCACATATGTACCCTTGGGAAGAGTAGCATTCTTGACACGTACAATGTCACCCTCTTGAAGAAGCATGTTTTGCATCATCTATACATATGAGAGAAAAATTATGTAGCAACTCAGTCGGAATACTTTTCAACTGAAGAGAGCAGTAAAGCAAGTTCACTCATAGCACATACCCAGTAGGGCATGATGATCATGCCTTCTTCTGCTACAAACTCCAATACACCACAGTGTGAAATCCTGTCGGTGACACCATTGTGCAGTTCAAATAGCATAGGATACTCAATGTGCAGGGAAGCTGTTAAATCAAAACCAAACAGTTACAAATGCACATAATAATATTCTCTCAAGAGTGATTAAAGTCAACAATATGAAGCTACGACATTCAGCCTAAGGTCTAATGGAAGAGGATTTGAGCTTTACCCAGACGATCAAGGGCAGATGGCGGCATTATTACTGCATTGGAAAACATAGAACTATATCAGAGTTAAGTGATATTGAAACTGAAGAACAAGAGGAGAGAAGAGGCTCCAAGGCTTACCTTTGTCACCACCTTCCAGGTGTGGCTGGAAAATATAAAAATTCAGAAAGATGGTTATATACAATTCAGATTCTAGCACTGCTAGGTACTAGCAGATAAAATTGATACCGCAAGTAGAATACCTTGTCAAAAAAAGATGCTGGATAGCAGCGGTACGTTTGCTCAAAATTACTAGCATGGTAACCATATCCCGCGTAAAACTGCATAAGAGAAAATTTGGGTTAGCTAAGCATATGTGAACTACACCAAATACGAGAGAAACTAACTACTGTGGCATCTGTTCAGAAAAGCTGTTCTAAGCTAAGAATGAAAAAGGACCACAATACAATAATTACGAACGCCATGACTATCACAGGAACAGAGTTAATCAAGATTAACCTGCAGATATGCACATTTGCGTTAAGGTGTGAAGTATTTTGCAAACTATTCAATAAGAAAGACAAATCGTACATACATGAAGGGATGATCCAATGATTAATTAGTCCAGTTCACAGAGGGGGGAACAGCTTTACCACCGCGCCAAGGCTCCCCTTCCCAGTTCACGTAGGTGTATTACTAATTTACTATTAATTCACTCGAGGTGTAAACAAGGAACAACAAGAAAGTACTGTGTACTAAAATTAATTCGATGTGAAATTTATTTTTTTACCAAAGTTATCTCCGGATCAGTTTATTGTTAGTATGGTCAGACTAGCAATGACTTTCATCAACTGATATTCAAAAGAATCCTTCAAAGAGTATGAACATAACCAGATTCATCTATCAAATGCCACACTTGAACCCTATCTTGGCATTTGTAGGCAGAAATAACTTGGCACCAAGCATACAAATACGAAATATAGTCACATATACAACCTAATTCTCTTTTCTTTTTTTTTTCCTTTTTTTTGCAGGTATACAATCTAATTGTCTAATATAATATCCATGGCAGTACGGCACTTAGTTGCATAGGAAATTTCAAGGGCAGTTGAAGTAATGCATACCATCTTGAGTGGACCTTTGCTTCTACTTCTCTTGGACCTGTTACCTGTAAAAAACATAAGCGAGTATGAGGGGAAACTATTTAAGCCGCATAAGAAAATGTACAATATCGCAATTCTCCGCAACGGAGAACTAGGATGACAAGGAAAGTAACACTATTTAGCTCCTTATATCCAAAGGATCCGAACCAAAATTTCAGGATTATCAACAAGCTCGAAACTTTACAGCGAAACACAAACCTAGCTCCATCACCGGTACAGTTATTTATTCATTACAATTTATAAGTAGCGCTAGATTTTCTTTCGAGCAAGCCCTGGTTCCAAGCTAACAACAGCCAGCCTAACAGCATGAACAGATTCCAGTTCCAACACTACCCCGAAAAATACACGGTGGCGGATCTAGATGGCGCGCGCCCAGAATCTCTGGGGTTCTAATGCTCGTACCTCAGAAACCAAACCAATGGCCGGAATTGCCGACGGTGTCGATACAGTACGGACGCACCACCGGCCAGGAGTCGCTCTGCTGCAATCAATCGAGGAGGGGGAAAGTCGCTTACGAGGGCGTGAGGAGATGGGATCCGAGACGGGATGGATGAGACGCAGAACGGGCTACGATCGGAACAGATTGCCGCGGAGAGGGGACGGGATTGGGAGGGGGGATATCTGTTGGGATTGCGTGAGGTTTCCGCGGAGGAATATAGAATCCGGACGACGCGATGCGATTGCGAGGGGGAGAAGGCCGAGCGCCGGTGATGTGGTGGAGCAAGGCAGTCCGCTCGCCTTCGGGGATCGGAAACGGAACACAACAGAGAGACTGGCGAGGGGACCAGGAAACTAGCCCGACGGCCCAGGCCCGCTGGGGAACCGCGCTTCCCCTGGGCTCGGGGCGTTATAAGCGCGTGACAGCTATGTACCGCCTTTGCGTGTCGTGTATTAGCTCTCGTCTACAGTGCGGTGCTACTGGATTGGCCCAATATTGTTGCTGCGCGTGAGTTTTTTCCCGAAATCACTAATTAAGGAGTACTCGTTGCAAAGAACACTTCACTTTCCCAGATCACGCGCACGCGCCACTTGTCGCAACCTGAGAGTTTTCCTTTTTTCGTAGATCCGTTTATTCAAAATGTTTTATCTCTTAAACCGTGCGTCCAAATCTCGAACCGTTTTCACCATTGGATTCCTCCCGTTGAGATCTTCAAAACTAGATCCCATGTTGATAAGTTTTGGCGAACTTTTTTTCACGAAAAAACGGACGAATTCCGAAAGAGGCACGCCCGTGCCTCTCGCGAAATCACAACCGTGCCTCTCGTGGAAGCAAAACCGTGACTCTCGTGGAAGGAAAAAAAAAACAGAAAACGCGTTTTTTTTCGTTTTCGAGAGGTACGACCGTGACTCTCGCGAAAGCACAACCGTGTCTCTCACGGAAGCAAAAACGTAACTCTCGGGAAAGAAAAAAAAGAAAACGCGTATTTTTTTCCCTTTCCGAGAGACACGGCCGTGACTTTCGCGTAAGC